AGCATTTATTTAAAACATCACCATTAAAAAACAAACTAAAATTGTAAAATTTGATAATAATGTGCGTGAAAGAATCGATGAAAAGATTTTATGTTAATAATTATTAAGTTAAGAATAGAAATTATCTAATAATTAATGTAATTATCAAATGATATTTAATAATGTATCAAAAAAGAGATTTTCTTATAAAAAAATATTTCATTGAAAACATGTTTTATTAATTAGAATAATTTTGGATCAATAATTTTGAAAAATATTATAAATTTTCAAAATAATAGAAGTTGAAATATTTTTATAAATCCAAAAAAATTGAGCATTTATTTAAAACATCACCATTAAAAAACAAACTAAAATTGTAAAATTTGATAATAATGTGCGTGAAAGAATCGATGAAAAGATTTTATGTTAATAATTATTAAGTTAAGAATAGAAATTATCTAATAATTAATGTAATTATCAAATGATATTTAATAATGTATCAAAAAAGAGAATTTTCTTATAAAAAAATATTTCATTGAAAACATGATTTATTAATTAGAATAATGATAATCAATTGGGATTCACTAATTTTGGAAAAAAACTTTATAAAATTTCAAAATAATAAAAGTTGAAATATTTTTATAAATCCAACAAAAATTGAGAATTTATTTAAAACATCACCATTAAAAAACAAACTAAAATTGTAAAATTTAATAATAATGTGCGTGAAAGAACCGATGAAAAGATTTTATGTTAATAATTATTAAGTTAAGAATAGAAATGATCTAATAATTAATGTAATTATCAATTGATATTTAATTATGTATCAAAAAAGAGCATTTTCTTATAAAAAAATATTTCATTGAAAACATGTTTTATTAATTAGAATAATTTTGGATCAATAATTTTGGAAAAATATTATAAATTTTCAAAATAATAGAAGTTGAAATATTTTTATAAATCCAATAAAAATTGAGCATTTATTTAAAACATCACCATTAATAAACAAACTAAAATTGTAAAATTTGATAATAATGTGCGTGAAAGAACCGATGAAAAGATTTTATGT